GGGCTGAGCCGCGACGCAGGGAGCTGGGGCTTCGGGCCGCCAGGCCGGAGCGAGGCCCCCGCTTGTCGCGTTCGTTGTTGGCGGGTTTTTGTTGGGTTTTGGTTTCGGTAGCGAATCCTCCTCCCCCAGATGGCTCGCTTCGGGCCCCACCTGCCCAGATCGGCCGCGGGCGTTTTGTGTAGGACAAGACGTGTCACAAGCACGAGAGCAGGGGATAAATTTATTTTCTTAATCGGTGTTTGCCGGGCCTGATCACACGCTTCGTGGGGAGTTGGTACGAATACGCTGCACAGCCAAGTTCTTTCTTTCCCACTCCCTTAATTTACTTTTTGACTGGGAAAGAACAAGGTTTTGGAGTCAGAATCCCAGTTTCCAGCCTTCTTTCTCCCGTGTGTGTGTGTGTGTGTGTGTGTGTGTGTGTGTGTGTGTGTATTCCTGGGGTGAAATTCAGAGCCTGTGTGTAGGGGATCGAGCAAACGCTGAGCTAAATCCCCAGGTCCAAACCCTTTTGTAATGGTGTTGAAGGCTCGTGTGGGGGATTGGTTTTGGTTTTTTGCTTGTCTTGTTTGTTTTTTTGCTATATTGCGAATCCAAGGCCTCTTTTTTATTTTGAGACAGGATCTCATTAAGTTTCTAAATTGCCTGGGCCGGGCTTGAACTTGCAGCCCTCCCCCAGAGCTCAGGGAATCCGCCTGTTTTCCTGGCCTTAGTGTTGGCGTTTGTTCCTTAGCAAGTCCTCCCTTACCTGAGCCTGTTTCCTCATCTGTGTAACTAGGGTAACAGCCCATGTGCTCGGCCTTCTCCCTGGGGTTGGAGGGGCCGGGGAGAGGCTCCCTTGCCACAGTTGCAGCTGGAGACCCTCAGGCCAGGTGTTCTGGCTCCCGCCCTGAGCTTCTTGGCTGGGCCTTTGGTCAAGTGCTTTGGAATGAAGCAGGGTGAACATGAGTCATAAGCATTACTGTTACTGGTTCCTTGGGCAGCAGAAAGCTCGGCTGGCGACTGTCCCGCTTGAGACCAATGGGCTTCCTGTGTCCACTGGTTGCCGAAGTCAGGAGTTGGCCGGGGCTGCTGGCCAGGCGCTAGGGATCTGGCCTTGTCCTTTTTCTCTGTCCGCTTTCCAGTCTGCCCTCCCCTCCTGTGACCTGGCACAGGCTGGGGACAAAATGTCACCCTAGTTGTTCCGCCTCTTCTTGGCTTCGGCCTGCAAGCCCTGTGTCCCCTGAAACCCCAGAGCGCTGGGAGCCTGAGCTGGAGGTGGTCTGGGCCCCACGTAGGAGCAGGGTTAGAGAGGGCGGAAACCCGCTGGCAGTGTTCTGCTTGAGAATTTTTATTTAGATT